CATCTAATACTTTTGAATAGTCGTTCAGATATTTTGCTCAAGCACATTTTTCTGATGCTACCTTCGATGGTCAATCGGAAAGTACTTTATCGATAGATTAAATTTTCTATTGAATGGTTAAATAGAGACTAGTTGCAAGGGGAATAATAAGTTGCAAATTTTTTTAAATTTAAATTAATTAATTTTAATTATCTTTATTATGAAGGATTGAATAATTGAACAATCGATAAATGTTCATCATTACAAGTCTTGCCAACAAGCGTTTGGAGCGATTGATTTAATAACATCCTTGTAGTAAAGGGTTCGAGTGTAAAGACCAGAGGTATCCTTGTCTTGACCACATTCAGTCCATGAACCTGAAACAACTCCCATCAGATACCATCGTCCATTGTCTCCATGATGCATAATTGGTCCACCTGAATCACCTGAACAAGCATCACCTCGAGTCTTCTTGTTGATGGCGCACATGTGAGATTCAGCAACAGGTTCAGTGCGGATTAAGGGCGCCAATTCAATGGGGATATCATTTTGCTTCATAATAATGGTTTTCTTGGCATCATTGCATTCTTCCTCTGATAATAAAAGAAGAGTAAAGTTTATCGATTGAATTAACTATCATTATTCACTAATTTACTTACTGTCCATGAAGTCAACTTCAACTTCCAAAAGATCATCACTGGACTTAGCATTAGCTGATGTGAGTCCCCAACCAGAGACGGTGAGTTTAGTCAAATCGCTTTCATTGTTTGGTAAACAAACTGGTGCGATTGTTTGGGTAAATTTAACTGGCTTGGAAAGGGTCAAAATGGCGAAATCATTGGATAAGTTACTTGAATCGTACTTAGGATCAAACCAAACTTTTGAAACTTTATGTGGGTAGGAGAAGTCACTGAAAGCTTTAACTCGTCCAAGGAAGACATCGATGTTTTCTGGTTTGTAACGTTGTCCATCCTTAGTGACAACACAGTGAGCAGCGGTAGCGACGTGGGTTTCATCAATCAATGAACCTCCACATTGACCAAAGGAGTTATCGTCTCGATCAGCGAAGCTCCTGAAATATTGAATATTAAGTCATTGAAGAAAGCTGAACTGGCTTTGAGTCAAAATTACTCACCTAATATGAGCTAACCAAGGATATTTATTGGCTCGAACCTTTGTTCCTTTGTAGATTCGACCGGAGGAACCTTCCATACCACATTCTGGGAAGAGATATGAGTTAATATTGTGTATGTGAATAATCATCTTCTAGTACTTACCACATGCAATGGTTACATTGATTGCGGCAACGAGCAAAAGAGTGGTCAACATAAAGAATCTCATTTTCAATGAGTTTTTTTGCAAAATTAATACAATCAAGTGTTTATCAACAGATTAATCTTGGATATGATTTAATCTGATCAATTACATCGCCTTTTATACTAAATTAAATTAAAGGTGCAAATGATCGTTTCGACAGTTTCTTCAGTTTCTTTTATTTTCCATCTTATTTTGATGCTCAATACTGACATTTATTGGGGTTAACCTTTTTAATCAAAGTGACGATGATATAATATTCCAGACTAATTTTAGCCTCATTGAGAGCATTTTCATCTAAATCTGAATTTTATTACAGAAAAACAATGCCTTTTTGCGTCAATAAGTTGGACGATTTGACATTTAATCAACATTGTGGCTAAAGTTGGAAAATTATGTGACAAGAAACTCAACTATATCATAATGAAATTAAGTTAGAATCAACTAATAAAGATAAATCCCAGATGGCAACTCGATGTTAATAATTGAATGATTCATGAATGAAACGATTAAAACAAAATTTTGCAAATCAATTGAAACCTTGAATCGTCTGGTAAAATATGGACAGTTTGACATTTAATCAACAAGTTAACATTATTTTTTGATTGGCAGCTCAGATGCTTACCTTAATCTCAGTACTCATTGTACTCACGCAGTGTTTCTGTACTATAATTAAGTTTGGCTAAACCTGGCCTTTCGAGCGCTTTCATTAGTTAAAGATCTGAAATTTATATTTTTTGGTAATTGAAATGGTTGTTGAACACCAGCAATTGAATACTTTTTTCAATTTATCGACAGTTCTCTTGATTTTATCCAATAGCCTTAAATAAATTTATTATGTGCCTACATATTTTGAGAGTAGTAACAATTAGTTAGTCACAATTACCATTCTTTAACCAATCATGTTATTTCAATATTATGTGTTATAACCTTTACCCTGTTTCTATTTTCCACAAATTTCTCATGAGCCTAAATTCCGGGAAAGTTATGACTATTTTTCGTGGAGAAAGTCCAATCATTGCTTACATGCAGTGTGAATAATATCTTATGATATCTGTTTCGATACTAACCATTCAGCCACAATTTTGACATAAAAATTAGACAATTTGACTCCATACATTTAAATATATTGGTTGGTAACAAGGTGGTAAAAAGAAACAATTAATACAGTTGCCACATAAATGTAGGATTCTGAACTTATATGAAGATTCTTCTAGCACACAAGATTTGTGTTTAGCTTTACAAATCAAGTCTCAAATCTGGCGACATAAGTAATGAAATGCTGTAACTTTTTTAGTCTCTCGAATGATTTAATATTTCAATATATTATAGCCCATAATGGAATCTAATGTTTGGTCAAGAATGATGATTGTAGATTGTGCCGTTCCCGAAATAATGAGGCTCAAAGTTTTTGGGTCAATGTCTAAAATTTAAAGAACTGTTGATAAATTGAAAAAAGTGTTCGGTTATTGATGTTCAGCAACAATTTTTATCGACGAATAATAGCTTTCAGTTCTCTAACTCGTAAGGTCACAGAATGTTATCGGTTTAACTTAAAATCGAACTTGATCTGTTTTACAGAAAAAAAAATTCTATTTCTCAAAATGAATACATTTCCTGGTTGTTCATCAAAAGATACATCAGATAAATGAGTTTCAAGAAAAAATCTTCTTCAATAATTGCACTAAACGCTTTGCAAGTTTCAACTTCGAACTCCATTTTCTAGAGAACTTACGATCAGATAAATCTTTAAATCGCGCAAATGGACTCAGTTTTTATGTTCATACATGCTAATATAGTTTAAATTTGGAAGAAATAAATTTTTACCCTTTTGCCCATTTGTATCGATTTGTGCATTAATGTGACAACTGTGTTATTTGACTCTTTTTATGATAGTAACAACCAAATACAAGTAAAATATTTGTTTAGGTTAAACAATAATTGCTAATAGCAATATTTAGAAAATTTATTCGAGTTTTATTTTAATTATTTTCATTGTGCATGATTGTTTCACTGTTTAAATTGACTGACAAAGTAATTGTGCGTAAAGATGTATTGCATTATCTTGATCAGAAATGGCCAATTGATCATCTCTTGCCAAGTAATTTGACCAAATGTATTGAGCGGGTTTCCTTTCCTACAGAACGAATCGATGAATAGATTTAGGCTTTGCTTTATTTGTTATTGAATAGATGCATATAAACCCATCTTCTTGGACAGTAAGTATAACTGGTCAGGCAAATAACTAGATACAATTTGCATTCTTCATAAGACTGGATTCATCTTCAGAATGCTAATAGATTTTTGCTCAAGCACATTTTTCTGATGCTACCTTCGATGGTCAATCGGAAAGCGATTTATTGGTAAATTAAATTTTCTGTTCAATAGTTAACTAGAGACTACACTGCTTGTCAAAAGTATAAGGCCACATGATTTTCTTCGGTATTTCTAAATTTTAGCTGATTTTCTGAACTTTTTCTAATTGGATTATACTAAGCCATGGGAGAATAGCATTTTCACTCAATTAAAGTTAATTTAAGACTCAAATTTTTAAACTGAAGATTAAAATTAAGGAATGCATATGTTAGCCATATGGTCAAAAGTATAAGGCCACTTTAATCCAATTGAAATAATTAGGCCAAAAATTAGTTTAAAAGAGAATGCATTGATTTTTCCTGGTCATTTTTTCGAGTTCTTTCATTTCCAATACTCAGTTTTTCTCTATTTCCAATAGTTTTTGATTTATCTTACTTTGTTCTGCAATTACATAATGCCTCGTTCATCAGCTTTAAATGACTATGAAAAAGGTCAAATTGATACAATGATTCAACAGGGTATCTCTCTAAATGCAATAGCTAAAGAAATTAATAGATCAAGATGTGTTGTGCAAAATTATGCCAAATTAAAGGAAAATTACGGTACATCTCCTCGCTCTGGACGCCCCCCTGTGCTAAGTGATCGTGATAAAAGGAAAGTTAAAAGGATAATGAGTTGCACATTTTTTTAAATTTAAATTAATTAATTTTAATTATCTTTATTTTGAAGGATTGAATAATTGAACAATTGATAAATGTTCATCATTACAAGTCTTGCCAACAAGCGTTTGGAGCGATTGATTTGATAACATCCTTGTAGTAAAGGGTTCGAGTGTAAAGACCAGAGGTATCCTTGTCTTGTCCACATTCAGTCCATGAACCTGAAACAACTCCCATCAGATACCATCGTCCATTGTCTCCATGATGCATAATTGGTCCACCTGAATCACCTGAACAAGCGTCACCTCGAGTCTTCTTGTTGATGGCGCACATGTGAGATTCAGCAACAGGTTCAGTGCGGATTAAGGGCGCCAATTCAATGGGGATATCATTTTGCTTCATAATAATGGTTTTCTTGGCATCATTGCATTCTTCCTCTGATAATAAAAGAAAAGTAAAGTTTATCGATTGAATTCACTATCATGTAATTTACTTACTGTCCATGAAGTCAACTTCAACTTCCAAAAGATCATCACTGGACTTAGCATTAGCTGATGTGAGTCCCCAACCAGAGACGGTGAGTTTAGTCAAATCGCTTTCATTGTTTGGTAAACAAACTGGTGCGATTGTTTGGGTAAATTTAACTGGCTTGGAAAGGGTCAAAATGGCGAAATCATTGGATAAGTTACTTGAATCGTACTTAGGATCAAACCAAACTTTTGAAACTTTATGTGGGTAGGAGAAGTCACTGAAAGCTTTAACTCGTCCAAGGAAGACATCGATGTTTTCTGGTTTGTAACGTTGTCCATCCTTAGTGACAACACAGTGAGCAGCGGTAGCGACGTGGGTTTCATCAATCAATGAACCTCCACATTGACCAAAGGAGTTATCGTCTCGATCAGCGAAGCTCCTGAAATATTGAATATTAAGTCATTGAAGAAAGCTGAACTGGCTTTGAGTCAAAATTACTCACCTAATATGAGCTAACCAAGGATATTTATTGGCTCGAACCTTTGTTCCTTTGTAGATTCGACCGGAGGAACCTTCCATACCACATTCTGGGAAGAGATATGAGTTAATATTGTGTATGTGAATAATCATCTTCTAGTACTTACCACATGCAATGGTTACATTGATTGCGGCAACGAGCAAAAGAGTGGTCAACATAAAGAATCTCATTTTCAATGAGTTTTTTTGCAAAATTAATACAATCAAGTGTTTATCAACAGATTAATCTTGGATATGATTTAATCTGATCAATTACATCGCCTTTTATACTAAATTAAATTCAAGATGCAAATGATCGTTTTGACAGTTTCTTCAGTTTCTTTTGTTTTTCATCTATTTTTGATGCTCGCTATTGACAATGATTAGGGTTAACCTTTTTAATCAAATTGATGAAGATATTTCAGACTAATTTTAGCGCAATTGCGGGTATTCCCATCTAAATATGATTTTATTCGAGAAAAATAATCACGTTTTACGTCAATTAGTTGGAAAATTCTCTGGAATCGTCTGATAAAATATGGACGATTTGACATTTAATTGACATGGTATTGTGGCTAAGTTGGAAAATTATCTGCAAAGAAAGGCAACTATACCAAGATAAAGTTAAAATAAAATCAACTAATACAGATGAATCCAGACGTAATAATAATAACTTAATAATTAAAAGATTTATGAATGAAACCATTGCAACAAAATTTTGCAAATCAATTTTATTCGAGTTTTATTTTGATTGTTTTCAATTCAATTATTTTCATTGTCTCTGATTGTTTCACTGTTTAAATTGACTGAGTAAAGATGAATTGCATTATCTTGATCAGAAATGGCCAATTGATCATCTCTTGCCAAGTAATTTGACCAAATGTATTCAGCGGGTTTCCTTTCCTCCAGACTGAACCGATGAATAGATTTAGGCTTTGCTTTATTTGTTATTGAATAGATGCATATGAAACCATCTTCTTGGATAGTAAATATAACTGGTCGGGCAAATAACCAAATAGTCGAGACAATATTCACATCACAATGAACCACAAATAAGGGTTTAGACTGGAAAACATCCCAAACTCGAAGCTCATTATCTTTACCAGTCGAAATGAAAATGTTTCTCAGATTAGGCGAAAAATCAACATTAGTTACAATGGCTCGATGATACACATAAGCCATGACAATTGGATTTTTCAATGGTAACCAATCTGTTGGTCGAAGTGGATCATCAGGTGCTTCTTCCCTCAATTCACCATTGAGTGAACACCTAAAAATGCCACCAGCTTCACAGCCAATAATAAAACCAGAATCACTTTCAGATTCCCATGTGAAAGATGTAATTGGTACACCTTTGAAATGACTACCCAATGTATCTCTTAGGCCCATAGACTTGGGTAAATCGGTTAATATAATGTTGTACAAGTCTAAAGCTATTAACAATTTGGATTTGCTTTCTAA